GCTTTTGATAGCCAATACAACCTGTTACTACTCTGCATTGAACAAATTCTAGAAAATTGTTTCGCTTAGCTGTAGCAATGCAAAGAGAAAATCGATGCAGAGAATCGATCATCGCGTATTCGCCCTTATGCATGCTCACTGTCGAATCATTTCACAGAATCATATTTGCGGCAAATACAACGCAGTAGGGCTGGCCGTTTTGATGTTTGTGAATGACTATTATGAAATTACAAAACACATCAAGCATTGCATGTTTGGTCATTCCACATACTGAGGCTGTGTTCCATTTGGCGTTTTTTACTTAAATTTGACAGATGGAAAATTTTCAAATAAACCTGCTACTGTACCAGACTTATTTCTGACAGACAAGGAATCAATTTTGACGCACACCTTCTCGAAAATCGGCCGATCAACCACAGAGGGATTTTCGAACATCTTAATTTATTTTCGAAGATTTATGTGAAAATTCACCAAATGGAACACAGTCGAATAATCTTCGTCAAACGATCCACAACACTGGAGCAGTTGGCTCGCATGATTTCTTCAGAAACAACGTCTCAGGCTCTTTGTATAGCTACCATAAGAGCGTCCTTATTGATTTTTGGCTTAGTCGCCAACATCGCGAAATCTAGCGGCTTAATATCCGGAGAAGAAGGAGGTCACATTTCCTTCGACCAAAAATGATCGAAGTTTTGCTGACACCACGCTTGAACGCATTTGGCTGCATGGGTAGGTGCAGAATCTTGAGTGAAGCAAATCTCTGTGTCTGTGAACTCCGGCTGGACCCATGTGTTGCACTTTCTGTTGTAAAAAGTTCAGATATACCTCCGGGATGCGAAAAACAGGAGATTTCTTCCCATTCGATGCAACTGCTGCCCAAATCGTCATCGAATCTGGTTTTTGCGCTTTGTAGACGAATTTATTGTTGGGATCAGCTGAAATTCGATGCTTGCATAGCACTCTGTCATTTTGACGGTTAAATTTGCGGCCGACAAAAAAATTGTGTGACGAAATAGTGTCAGGTTTTGAACGCTTATAACTTGACCAATTATGAATGGATTTCGAATCTTATTACACCAATTGATTAAGACTTGATGTAAGTTTCGTTTGGTGTAAAGATTATACTTGTTTATCAATAGTAAACTATTGAAAATTGATCAAACATTTTTACCATAATCTTTCTATGATCATCAGGCAGATATCCGATAGCGAGGTTATAAAAGAGCGCACCTGTTATTGTTTGTGTTAGTTCATCTGCGGATATATTAACGCAAGAGAAAGTCAGTGAAGCGAATCGATCAAAGCAGAGCGAACTTTTTAAAATGTTCATCGATATTTGGCTTATAGTTTTTACACGCCCGTTCGAAATTACCCAACAATGTGTAGAATAGGATGAATTATTTTCGGAGTAAACTAGGGTAATCCAAAAATAGGTAACAGCTTAACCAACAATAAGGTAAAAACTTACATAAAATTAATTAATGTGTCGAATTTTTTGCGTGTAAACTAAACAGAAGGTTGATGTTTTGACCAAAGTTGTTCAGATGAATAAAGCGTATTGGATGGTGGAATGCTCAGTTCAGAACTCGCTCACCCTGTAGTGACAGTGTGCCATTTGATCTCTAATTACTTACTTAACATGACATGCCAATTTGATAGATGGGAAAGTTGTGAAGGAGATTTTAATGCTAGTAGTAAACTGTATTTGTTTTTGTGTTGTAAAAATGAGGTGAGAAATGCTCACTACACATCTCGGAATTTAAGTGTTAAATTGATTAGTGTTGATTCAAATGTTAAGCTTTACCTAATCTTCGCATATCTACAGTAAACTATGAGCGTAATCTATCAATTACGTTAAAGAAAAATAAATTTCAACATCTGAGTGCAAAGTTATTACCAAATGAGCAGTTGGTGTGTACAACTGTGCATGCCAAGCATGCTGGAATGTTATATGAAATGCATTTTAACTTACGATTGATTTTTTTCTTTGGTTTGTTTTCCGTTGATCTTGTTTTCCGTACTGAGTACCAATGCTACCGACACCAGGAAGGCAGCTCCTACACCTGGACCCTACCTATCGACCTATTAACTTATGGACCGGGGACCAACGGTTTTACTTTGCTGCCGAAGGAAGGCATGATCATGGATTTTATGCCTCAAAAAATCCGGCGTCGCCGACTGGGATTGAACCCAGGCCTTTTAAGAGGGAGAGGCAATCACGTTTACCACTACACCACAGGCGTCGCTAACGATTAATTTTAATTATTATTCAGTTACAGAACGTTTAGTGGCCATGTTTGGAACCTTCTAATCTAGTGAATATTATTGAATGGAGCAACAACAATAATCGTGTAGTCCTACGTCAATAATGTGGTTGTGCTTCGTACACAACCCCTAACTTTTTTAAATGTGTGGTTTTCTACAAAAAATATATTTTTAACGAAAAAAAATAACCTTTGAAATCAAAAAAAAATGGTTCAGAAAAGAGCCAATTTATAAGTAAAATTGAGCTAAAAAACACGATTTTAGATTACCTCTTCTGTATTGAAAAATAACTTCCCCTTTAATTATTTCACATGAAAATATTTATCAAAGCACGTAAAATTTGATCACGTTATTCGTTTAAAAAACTGGTTGCCCCAATTGGCAAATTATCCACCGGAATATCGTATGTTTCGAACACATAAACGCTCTTAACATGTTGCATTTGTGAGGTAGCGTATTGAAGTATTCTAGAAAGTTGCTGGTTTTGGTAAATGAAAAAACTCTTTCTAACATAGTATGCCATGAAAAAATCAAATAAAAAAGTTATAGCTAAAAGAACGATTCTAAGGGACCTTCCTTAAAAAAATACTTCATATCTCAATGAAAACGACGATTTAAACCAAGGTTGCAAAGACTCATTTCAGCTAAAATAATGTTTTTCGGAATAATAAAACCAAAAGATGGTTTGATGACATGTTTTACTTGTAACTTAAAAGAAGAGGTTACGCAGTATGCGTTTGAAACATAAAACCTGTAAATTTTGCTTTCTATGAGTCACAATCAGCGATTTGCTGATCGCTGAGTGAGTGAGTGAGTGAGTGAGTGAGTTTGTGAAAAATCGCTGATTGTGACTCTCATGAAGTGAAATAAACAGGTTTAATATGTCAAACACATTCTTTGCAACCTCTTCTTGTATCCTACCAATTCAAAATTTGATCATGGCATCTAATTATTTCATAATTTAGAAAAACATTGTTTTAGCTGAAATGAGTCTTTGCAACCTTGATTTAAACCATTGATGTTTCCAGCAAAGTTTGTAGAAATGGTGCAACATTTTATTTTTCTAAACCGCATAGAAAAAAAGTTAGGAATTCTATTTTTTTTTGTCCTTAGAGATTTAAATTATGAGCGACAAATTGCCTTCAACGAATTTTTCTCCATTGCTCGTCAGCAAGTCCTCATCAGTTGACAACAAAAATGGAATGATGGTGATTTGGGAACATGGTTACATTCTATTCTCCCTCAGTTGTCGAACAAACCATGGTTCAAAGGGTTGGACATGAGCCGTGACTTTATACGCGTTATGTCAAGGCTTATGTCCAATCACTGTTCGTTAGACTCGCACTTCTATCGAATTGGACTCTCAGGCAGCAATTTATGGCAGTGGTTATCACGAAATCGAGCATGTTGTTTGGTCATGTACCCTACACCGTGTTGCCAGATCTAAGCTATCCACATCGCTCAGGGCCCGAGGAAAACAACCCGCGATACCCGTTAGAGATGTCTTGGCTAGCCGAGATTTCGACTATTTGAATTTAATTTATGTGTTTTTAAAATAGATAGATCTGAGGATTTAGTAGTTAGTGTCATCATGTGTTCTCCCAAGCTGTTAGCTGCCCATCGGTGTACCCCCATATTTGTCTTTTTCATCAGTATGTCGCTTAGTTCGAGATCAAGAGCACCTGCCATCCATTTGTTACAATTTGTTAACCCTAGCCTCGAGATAGCCACGAGTAATCGGCTTCCGCTTTACTAACGTTAGTTTTAAGAAATTTTGTTATCTAAACAATGAATATCGGCTCCGCAAAGCAACAGCAAATGAGCCTGAAAAAATAAACGCATTATTAAGAGATTTAAATTATGGACGACCCCTTCATCAGATGCGCCTTTTTGCAAATCCAAACTTGTCTGAAGATACCAACTTGATTAAACTGCATCTTTATGCACTTTTTTTAGTTTTTACCTGAAAAACTCCCTCCTGGACCACTGTGGAATGGTAACCCTTCTGCTAAGACTTATATACGTCAAATCGTAATAGCCCTCGACTTAACACGTTAGACCAGACGACAGTCAAGAGGATAACCGTTTGAGTTTCGCACAAATCAGACTTCCATTTCCAAGCTGAGAGCCATTATAGCGATTATTTGTGAAAAATGATTCACATTCATAGTACATATAAGGCGCCGTACATTCTGGGCACGTCTTCCGTATCCACCATTTCACGGTTCGCAATTTTCCACCCAAAACCACCATCATCATCCCATCACATGATGGTTGCGTGTTGAGTACTCTCCTTCTCTGGAGATAAATATAAAAAAAATAATACGAAGCTTATTTTGATGTGTATTGACTGCCAGCCGGCTAGGGTTGCTGGTGATTGAATTTCATCGCCCGGATTGCAGACAAGGGACCTAGGACAGTTGATACTCGTGAGAAGGGTCCGGTGTGGGAAGTCGGAAAGATTAATGGTTTTTTGAAGCCTTGCTGTATGTAAATTTGATCGGAGGAGTGCGATACATTTCACATTTAGATGTTTGGTCGAGTAAATATGATACTCATAAGAAGATGGAGTTATTGACTGTTACGATTTCATTAAATTCATTTCAAAAATATGATTTATTCGAACCGCTGCTGCTGCCAACTGTGTGCAACTTTCCTGCTAAATTTATTTCCGTTCTGTTGACACTTGTCGCGCTATTAATTTCTCTACCCTTTTTCCCCTTCTTGTATTGCAGTATGTTACGGAAAAAATGGGAGGTGCGGAAGGCACCAAACTGGACCTGGATTTCATGGAAATGGAAAGAGTAAGTTTTCGGTTCGGAGTTTTGTCAAACTATCGGAAAACTGATGCTTTTTTTCCTCTCGCAGAAAACAGACGTCACGGTAGAGCTGGTCGAAGAGTTGCAAGCAAAAACGAAAGAATACTTGCAACCGAATCCGACGGCCAGAGCGAAGATGGCAGCGGTCAAAGGTATTTCTAAATTATCAGGTCAAGCTAAAAGTAATACTTATCCACAACCAGAAGGTATATTGGCCGACTGTATGCTGACATACGGTAAAAAGCTCGGTGAAGACAGTATCTTCGGTAAGTACGAGCGTTTTGCTCCATTAAATGTTTCTTCGTCACTTACTTACTACTTATAAGGTTGGCTTTTCTTTGATTTCTTTTTTTTTTCAAAAATAGCTTTTATTGATATATATATCTTTATATATAATACACATAATCCAAAAGCAAAGAATCGCAAAAGTGTCCTTGTTTTTGAGTGTGTTTTATCGGTTTTCGTTTTACTTGTTTTTGTTCTGTGAACACATTTTTGGTTTATATTGATTTTTGGATCTTAGCGTGGCGACTTTTTTCTCTCTTGTACATATGACATACATACATGTTCTTCGGCAATGGGTGTGTGTGCCTGTGTGTGTGTGTCTAATTCTACACTATATTGTGTCTCTCATATGCATAAGAGGAAAGAACGAGTACGCGATGGATGCTTGATGCAAACTATTACTGGAAGCTGCTGCTGGAAATGGCGGTGTGTTTGATTGGTTGGACATCGACTTGGATTAAGGCACCGAATCTGGCGAGCGAACAGCATGCATAGATCATTGAGCGGAAATCAAGTTATGGTGAATGTTAATTCAGGTTGCATTGGAGAATATAACGTTGACGCAGTGTAAACAACTCGTTCTTACTAATGAGGCGAACCAGTCTCAGGCTGAAAGCCTCCTAAATAAAGATAAATCAATCAATCAATCGTACTTACTAAGGCGCGTTCACGTTCAAAGATGTGGGTAGGAAATGGTACTATAGGCATAAATTATGCTTCTGAATATTTTTGGAATCGGTCAATCGATTCCGGAGATATGACCGAACATGTTCCGGATTGTATGAGCCATGAGACTAAATCCAACCTGAAACGAATAGAACTCATGTGATTTATAATCAAATGACATGAGGATTAAAAAAAAGCATTTCAATGATAGCGCCAAAGACCACTCTGGCCACATCTAGACATGTTCCGGGTAAATTGTCAGTTTTCGACTAGGGTCAAAATCCATCATGCGATACCTTAAATCACATGATAATTCATCCTTCACCTCAGCACTTCTGTAGGAATTTCTATTAGTACAAAGGGTCAGATCTCACCATATGTGGATTAATTGTAAAATTGTGGGTATGCTTTGACTGTCCTACCCAGGTATTTTGTGCCTCAAGCCTCTGCGTATTTACTTATATCGTAAGCGACTGAATCAACATGACCAAAAAAACATGCAGCATTTTTTGTCCAAAAATATTCCATTACATCGAATTTTAATGAGATCAATTATTCTATTACGGCGACAAGTTTATCTGCATTGTTTGCACATTCTACTCATCAGCTGCCTACACCGCGTAGCGAGATGAATTTGGAATAATCTTCCTTCCAATAAGTAAGCCTTGTCGAAGACAAGAACCTTCTATCTACTGGAAGTCCATAATCACACTAGCGCTGCCTAGTGGGAAAATATAGAATCAAACAGACTATCATTAAAGTCTTCATTGATAAATAGGGGAAACGCTTCTATAGTTGCGGTACGTTAGAAGCGTTAGGTTACTATAGTTGTTCATGGAGACTCAATACACAACTATAGGAACCTAACGCTTCTAACGTACCGCAACTATAGGAGCGTTTACCCTACACCGAAGAGAGTGTAGTCTTATTTCAGTTCAACATTATTGGTGAGAAGTTCATAGGCATACTAGCTCCACCTAGTAGTAAAATGCAAAAATAGGCCTCAGGCAAACCAATTTGCTTAAAACTGTAGCATCATGTCGGGAGATAAATTTACGATACACGTCTAGTAGTCGGGCTGATGCTGAACAGCTCTCTTCATCCAGCTCAATCGATTACTAATTAGGTCCTGATGATTCTCCCAAATTCTGAGCACATTCGGTTGCAATTTCTACTACACTGGAGGCGGCCCCAGCATAGAGGTTAACATCCATACCCCTCACGACAAAAACACGAGTTCAAATCTAATCCCCGTGTTAAAGTGGCCATTACAAAAAGAAAAAAAAGCTCTTGCACTGGCCCATTAAATTTTATATGGCTATTACTATGGGACAAATGAACCTTTTGTTCTCCTCTAGTGTTTCCACCATATTGCTCTATGGGTAAGCTTGCTATCTATACTTATAGGTAATTTTCTCAGCTGCTATTATGCAGAGAGACTACACAGACTGGGGCCTCCTTTAACTCAGTTGGTAAAGGCACAGCTACAAAGCAAACCCATGCTGGAGGTGGCTGGGCTCGATTCCCGGTCCGGTCTAGGAATTTTGCGGGTTGGAAAATTTTCGGAATTCCCTGGGCATAAGAGTATGATTGTACTTGCCACACAATTATACTAATACAAAAATGGAGCAGGCATCAATTGCACTCAATTAATAACTGTGGAAGTGCATCTAGAATACTAAGTTGAGAGCACGCAATAAGCTAATAAGCGATAAGCAATAGGCTTGAATTACGAAGAAGATGAAGATTATATTTTAATTGAACTTCAGGAAAATTAGTGAACCCCTTAATCGATATGGCGAAATTGCTGTATGACATCTCAACCAAATGAGGTGAAATTTTCGAAGTATGATCAGGACTTTGTTTGGAATCGATTGACTCCTAATGGTTATTTTCTTTACAATAGTATTGTCCATTATCATAGGATAGAAGAGTGTCCTATTTAGCCTCGTTCCTGAGGATTGAAGAACGAATCCTACCATATCAATAAGAGATGAACCAGGCTGAAAGTCTCGATTATAAAGTTAACCTAACCTAACCTACAATATGAATTCAAATCCAACAAGGATTTGGAAGTGCACATTTCTATACGATATTTGGAAATGTATATTATAGTTGGGAGGAAATGCTATATTAAGATCAAGATCAAGATGAAGCTTTAGTGCTATAATTCATTAGCTAGATAAAATTCTGAAGAGGATAGATTGATAGATCCTGTAGAGTACGGCAGTGTGGAAATTGAACAGAAGTTGACTTTTAGCGAAGGGCCATTAATGCGACAATACTAATCAAACGCGCACTCCTTCACCTAACTCATACATTGATGGATGAGGGGATTTGAAGCGTATATGTTGTATGAAATTGAAACGATTTTAGTAGTATCAAGTAGTTGCAAATCCATTAAGCTTGATACATAGCAGAACGAGTTTTGATTCTAAACAGATGACTTGCCTGGTAAAAAAGCAGGAGACCATCAGTACTGAATTGAATTGAATTGAACCGTTTGAACAATCTTTAGATATAAAAATAAGTCTCTTAAATTGCTTTTCCTTCTCTTTAAAATTCCCATGAAAAATTCCTCGACAGTCCCTTCAGAAATGCCTTGGATTTGACCTAAGACTTGTCTTGGAATCCTGTTTGGAATTAAAGTGAAATTCCCCAAAAAATCCCTCTTGGGATTCTCTTTATCATTTGCTTGGAATTCTCCTCTAAATTGCCATGGAACTCTTGTCGAAATCATCTTAGCATTCTCCCAAATATACTGTATTAACAATATAGTTCACTCTTTTGTTTTTTAGGAGACACAATTTTCAGCCAACAAACGCGCCTTTGCGTCAGAAAAGGCAACTCATGTATTATATAAACTTTACGAAGGATGCTTCAAAGCTACAACAGAGATTTCATTCAAAACCTATAGGTCTAAGCACAGTGCACAAATTTCTACCCTGATTGTAATTATTGTACTTAAATTAAATTTTTCATGTGTAATAATTGCAGCTCATTCACCCCTTGACTGTACAGGGTGAAAGGTAATTCCTGTCAGTAAAGTATATGGTCATAAAAATTAGGTGAAATTTAATTTTCAGTGTATTTTCCAATTAAAATCTTTCTCCCTTTCCTTTAATTACGAGCCGCATCCGTTTTTGAAAATCGTTACAGCTGGCATGCTGGATATCTTGAGGCATTTCGTTCCATATTCTCACCAAACGTTGCTTAAAAGTTTCCACGGTTAGTCCCTTGGCATTCCCTAGTACGCCTAATATGTAGCCCCATGCAAAGAAGTCGAGAGGATTCAAATCGGGTGAGGAGGCAGGCCACTCTTTCGACGAAATGAAATTAGAGAAATTGGCCCCACACAGTAGAATGGTGCATTCTTATAATGTTTTTGGACGAAGGGAAGCAAGTGGTTCTTCAAAACATTATCGATGTAGTATTTACTGTTGATTTTAACACCAGGTTCAATGAACAGCAATGGAACATTCAATGTTTTGGAGAAGCATCCCCAAACCATCACCCTGGAAACATTCTGCAACCTTTGAACAGCCAGTTTGTCACGAGGAATAGCAGCAAGATAGGCAGCATATACCCGATCATTTTGCTGGTTGTGGTGATCCTGTAGCAGGAACATTTTCTCATCCGAAAACAGAATTTCGCAATCACCGTGCCGTTTGAGCAGTTTCCGACATCTTTCGACTCTAGCTATCTTTTGATTTCCGGTCAAACCATGTACCCGCTGTTTTTTGTAAGCATTCAATCCGAGATCATCTTTCAAAATACTCCTGATCGTTGGCTGCGACATTCCGAGTTCTTTGGCCATCTTACGCCCAGACTTACAAGGATTCCGCCGAATTCGCTCTCTCACTCGTTTGATAACTTCCGGAGTCCTGACACTGCGTTTTCGGCCTGGTCTGCGAGGGATTTTCCACGAACCGATTCCCTTGTACCGTTTAATGGTCTTCTTCTTCTTCTTCTTCTTCTTTGCATTTCAAGCTTATTGCATACCACATATTTAGCTTATTGCGTGCTTTCAACTTAGTGTTCTAGGTGCACTTCCATAGTTATTAATTGAAAGCTTTCGATGCTTGTACCATTTTGCATTGGTATAACTGAGTGGCAAGTCCAATCATCCCAGGGAAGTTGAGAAATTTTCCAACCCGAAAAATTCCTAGACCAGACCGGGAATCGAACCCAGCCACCTCCAGCATGGTCTTGCTTTGTAGCTGCCCCTTTACCGACTGAGCTAAGAGAGACCCCGTTTAATGGTGCGAAAGATGAATCTTTCGTTTATTCCGAGTGGTTTCAGCGTCTTCAAAAT